AAATACCTGAGCTTTCTGTTCGGGAAACAAATGGAGACAATAGAACCGTCCGGGATGTTCTAAATCAGATGGAATGTTGATTGTGATGTCATGTCAAGTGTGTCCGGTATTGTTGTTGAAACCATCTGGCAACTCTATGCACACTCAGGAGGCAGGTGGGGGCTGGGGGCCTTGGGCTATGCACTAACGTTCCCTTTAAGCTGCGCGGTCTCAGCCACTCAGCCATTCAAAGCTCCCAGCGCAGGCAGAGGGATCAGCTGATCCACAGGACCGGCCCCTGTAAACAGCAGCTAAATGCTGCCTGGGGCATGGAGGTTAGTCAGCCCCTAGGCAGGGAATGATGGCTGGGAGGAGAGAGTGAGGGAGGAATGAATTGGCTTGGGGGAAAGTCCCATCAGCGGAGGAGAGAGGTGGAGACCCAGCAGGGTTGGGCAGGGGGAGGTAAAGGGGCTGACTGCAAGGGGTGGGTGGGGGAAACAGGGAGTGACTAAGCACTGGCAGTGAGGTGGGAGTTGGGGGTGTTTGTTTGGGGCATCTGACTCACTGCAGTCGTCTCTGTTAGGCTGGTTTGGAGGAGCGGGGGGGAAGCTTTGTGTGTGTGAATCATAGAATACTAGGACTGGAAGGGACCTCGAGAGGTCATCGAGTCCAGTCCCCTGCCCTCATGGCAGGACCAAATACTGTCTAGACCATCCCTGATAGACATTTATCTAACCTACTCTTAAATATCTCCAGAGATGGAGATTCCACAACCTCCCTGGGCAATTTATTCCAGTGTTTAACTATCCTGACAGTTAGGAAAATTTTCCTAATGTCCAACCTAAACCTCCCTTGCTGCAGTTTAAGCCCATTGCTTCTTGTTCTATCCTCAAAGGCCAAGGAGAACAAGTGATACCTGAAAATGGCTATCATGTATCCCCTCAGTCTTCTCTTTTCTAAACTAAACAAACCCAATTCTTTCAGCCTTCCTTCATAGGTCATGTTCTCTAGACTTTTAATCATTCTTGTTGCTCTTCTCTGGACCCTCTCCAATTTCTCCACATCTTTCTTGAAATGCAATGCCCAGAACTGGACACAATTCTCCAACTGAGTACTCACAACACACCTGTTAATGCATCCCAGAATCATGTTTGCTTTTTTTGCCACAGCATCACACTGCTGACTCATATTCAGCTTGTGGTCCACTATAACCCCTTGATCCCTTTCTGCCGTACTCCTTCCTAGACAGTCGCTTCCCATTCTGTATGTGTGAAACTGATTGTTCCTTCCTAAGTGGAGCACTTTACATTTGTCTTTATTAAACTTCATCCTGTTTACCTCGACCATTTCTCCAATTTGTCCAGATTGTGTGGTTGTGCTAAGAGGACATTTTCATGATTACATTTCAAACAAAGTTTGCATATAGGTGTGAAAAGAATCTTTTCTTTCTTAAGCCATTAACCGTTTCAGAGGGGTAGCTGTGTGAGTCTGTAGGGCTACATGTAGACTGCAAGCCTCTTTTGAAAGAGAGCGTCTAGACTACAAGCAGACTTTTTGAAAAAGTGAGCCACTTTTTTGAAAGAGGGTCTAGATGTTCTTTTGAAAAACCACAGTTTGCATTCAGTAGTGCCTTTTTACGAAAGTGTACTTTAGAAAAAAGGCGTCATTCCTTGTAAAATGAGGTTTACTGCGATCAAAAAAACTGCTGTGTTCTTTCGATTTACTTTCGAAAGAACACGGCTGCAGTCTAGATGCAGGTGAAGTTTTTTCGAAAAAAGGCTACTTTTTTCGAAAAAACCCTGTAGTCTAGACACACCCTAGCTGAAAAGAACAGGGAATAGTACTAAGGTGCTGCAGGACTTACTTTCAAGCTTTTTGAAACATGCAAATGTCTACAAACCCTGAAGCCAGGTATTAATTTGTTTTGAGGCTTCTACTTTCCTCCAGTGGAAGAAGGCTAATTCCCTACCTTTGTACAGCACCTTTTTAGTCAGTAAGGGTATCTCGCAGCAACTAGTCACAGGTGTCTTGTTTTAATATATTTTATTCCACACACTGCTTATTAAAAGTGCTGTCATATGGGTGGAAATCGGGTAAATATTGCATTTTATTAATATCAGCAAATGGACTTAAATGGGGCCTGCGTGTTGTGTAGTCTTGCCTTAATCTTTGTATTCATGTCCGTCAGTGTGAAAGAAGCAATTTGCATATATTTGCATATATATGCAACCATACTTAAGTTGTGGCCCTCAGCATGTGCTGTGAGTATCATTGTGGCCCCCAGGGCTTCCAAAGTTGAGTAGCCCTGATATAGACCATGATTGGTTCTTCCATGAGGGCAGGGGACTGGACTTGATGACCTCTCGAGGTCCCTTTCACTTCTAGTTTTCTATAATTCTATGATTCTCTTCATGTACCTGGAATGGCATAATTTAGAGCAACTGAACCGGGTAGTGTAGACCTTCCTGTAGTCGTGACGGACAAGTCCACAAGTGAGCTATCCTAAAGGAATTCCCTTCCAGTCTTTACTCCACACCACAGCAGCATATTTCTCACGTCACTGAGTTTTCATAGAAGCTATCTGAGAACCAAGCTTTTAATTATTTGCAGTAGCTCAGGATGAAACTGGTTCCTTTAGCAGTGTGCAGGAGCCAAGTCCAAAGGTGTACCATAAACACGGTTCGTGCCACAATTTTGCACTTTATAGATGACTCATTCATGTCCTCTTTCCGAGTCAGACACCAACACACACACACACACACACACACACACACACACACACACACACACACACAAATTCACATTTGTGAGCAGTATATTTTTTGTTACTGCCACTTCTTTTATATACGTCTATATAATGTCCCCATTCAAATGAACGAAGGCAACTAGTTATTTGAACAAGTAGCAGCGCTGCATAATAAAAGCTGTTATGCTATATCAGGTTTAGTCCATGATAGCTAACTCTTTAATTTGCCACTAATGTGTCATAAAGAAAGCAATGAATGTTAATTGATGTTTAAGTTTTAATAGCCAACTTTCAAACACATATCAACTTTAAAAGAGACTATGAACTTATAACTAAATATTTTGTACTGAGCTCAGAGCAAAAACTCTTTAAAATTCCATTAAACAAGCTCTGTTTTGGTTTAGAGTTCAGCATCTCAGTGGAGGAGAACACCAAAATACCAAAAATTACCAGTAACCATTTACGGGCTATATATTTTCCAGAGTGCCTAAGTGACAAAGGAACACGACTCCCACTCTTTTTCAATGGTGTACATGACTGAACTGGTCAGGGACTATTTGCATGGAAGATGTAGTGCTTGAAATATAACAGAACTTAATGGATGCACGCCATCCCTGTGCAAACAAACTGTAATTATACAGCTGCCTGGGAATTTTCCAACTCAGTATTTTTGTTGCAAAATGCTGATTCATCGATATCAAATCTTGGGGGACGACGACGTGTTTTGACAAAACGAGAAACAAGGTTTTTCAGGTTGAGTGGAACTCCCGAGCCCCCAGAATAGCCCAATAGTTCCACCATTCATTTAGCACGTGGGAGATTCAGGCTCGTGTTCCTGGTCTCCATGATTCAGAACCATTCCAAGTTAGAAGAAAATCAAAGGCTTTTGCTGCCTCAAAATGGAAAATGGAACCTCTACTGCGGTTGCTTAGCTCTAAACCAAAACAGACCTTGTTTAATGGAATTTTAAAGAGGCTTGAATTCTTGTTTTGAAACTTCCCAGATCAAATTAGTGCTGCCAATTTTAGCCAATTTCCTCTTGAATGCACCCAGCTAGACTTACAGGTTGAACTTCTCTAGTCCGGCACTGTGCCGTCCATCAACATCTGTGGTCCGGCATGATTTTAGTGAGCTGGATGTCCGCTTATCATGTGGCCAAGTTTCCTGTGGTCCTAGAAAGTTTGTTTACAACCACCAGTCCTGGCTCTCAGTGTTCTATGCTGTTATTTAGCTCTAATTTACCCCTAAATGTCTTCTAACAGCCCAATGAGCAGTGGAAGTGTTGGTAATGCTGCTAAACAATATTGACCTCACATGGTTTGGCAAATTCTCTCGTTTAGCATTGATCAGGCCGTGAGGGTGCCGGACCAGAGAGGTTCACACTTTCCTAACAAGTGGGTCTGATCTGACTCTGCTCTTAAATATATTTGCATGGAAAAGAAACGCAACTCCAGTGTCTGCCACTTTCCAACACCAACTCTAGGTTCAGTCTTTGGCCCATATTTAAAACTTCATCACAGGAAGTTCCTTTGAAGAGAGAGAGAGAGATTGGCATAGCTACATCGGCATTTAGAGAAAAACTTATTAAACCTTTCCACCTAAGTATTCATCAGTGGTCTCAGCAACATCTACATTGCCAATAAACCAACAGGAAACCAGCACTTTAAGCAAGACAGGGAATGGTGTGGGTTGAGAAATGATCTTCCATAAGATTACAAGAGGGCTGCATAAAAGTGGGACCTTCCTTAACTACCATTCCAAAGCAATGTGCCTCAGGCCGAAGGAACAATCCACACAGCTATGGTAAGGGAGCATGTTGATTTGGGAGCGACCCAAAGGGAATCTTCTTTGTGTTGTTATAGAATAGATTTGTAGGCCTAAAGTTCCAGGCCTGGCATAATCATATTGGGTAATGGTGGTGAAATCAGTTGTTTCTCAGTCAAGATTTACATTTTCAGTTTCTAAAGCAAAGTAAGTCAAGGAAAAAGAATGATTATCTTTATAAACAAAACGTCAGGCAGTCTGTATAGAAATATACACATTCATTTCCCTCTGAATAGTAGTAGTTTAAATATACCATGATAAATGATGATTCTCATTATTATAAACCGAGCATAAGGGATCAAGTGCACTCCTGATGGATCTCCCATTGGGGTCAAATACACTTGAACCCCTTTAATCTGGGAACCCTGGAAACAGGATATGCCAGATTAGAGATTTTGGTGGGCCAGGGAGGGCGATGCGGGGTCTGGCCATGAGGAAGTGGGGCGCTTACCTGCTGCCCCACTCCAGGGGACACACTTGGATCCGTGCTCCCTGCCACACTTAGGCAAGGCCCACCCTGCCGCTAACCCTCAAGGGAAAACGTCTCTGTGTGCTGCCATCCCCCCAGCTAGGAGGGAGGGGAGCGGCTATGTGCAGAGCGTACCACAGGTGTTCCTCGAGATCAAGTGTACTAGCTCTTTGGGGCCAAAATCCACTGAAGTCAATGGGAGTTTTGCCACTGATGTCCATGGGCTCTGGATTTCAGCCCTTTCCTTCTGGTAAAGATCTAGAACACTCGCGAATCATAGACTATCTGGGCAACTGCAAAAATAATGAATCATTCTGCCCGCATGTTAGAGAGCTAACCTATTCAGAACTTGTGAGGAAGAACTGGGACGAAAAGCAGTACATAAGGGAGACTTATTAATATTGTATTAACTCTGCACCTCTTGTAGTCAAGTGGGAGTTTTGACATTGACTTCAATGGGAACAAAACCCGTCCCAAAGTTCAATCGACAATTTTACCATGATAATGGACAATGATTTGTTTGGAGTTATCACCTGAAAACAAATACTGCATGGGAATGCTGTAACTGAGCAAAAATATCAATAGTGAATCATCTTTTTGGCTCCTTCTTCCCCTCCATTGACTTACCTCATCTGATTGGAGTGTTTGATTAGACCAGTCTTCCCTGGACTAATAGGGAGACAAGATCCAGGATTTGCTTTATTTACATTTGCCGTGAAATTAGAATGAGTTTGTTTCATACGTCTGGCTTGGGAAGTTGTGAACCCACACCGAGTGTTTGTTTTCTCAGGCCACTAAAGAAATATTGGCCTCTTGGAAATATACAGTTCCCTCTCATTTTAAGTTCGGTCTGACCAACCTTGACTTGCATGTGTTATTCTTTATGGAATTAGACACAGCATGTAAGTTTTAAAATTTTGGTCTTGATGTTTTCAGTATAGGATTCTACCTACTGAAAGTATATCTGGAATATGTCTGGAAGTGGAAGTAAAACGAATGTATGGGTCATCTACAGGGTTCTGTAACTGCATGTGAAAAATTATATTGGGAAGAGATGTTAAAAATAATTAACTTTTTGAGACTTGGCTATCATTCTGAACTAAGAAGTCCCAAATGCTTCTCTTGTCTTGCGTTTTGGGGTTCCAGGACAATAAAAATGAGTTATATGTTGTTGACATTTGCTCTGTGAAAACAATCCTAGTTCTTTTTAAGGCCATTTTCAGAGACAGAAACCTGTTCAACCACTTTCCTGTGAACTTTACGTTTTGTAGACACCAAATTGCAGATTGTACATTTGATGACTGTGATTCATTTCCTCGCTTTTCTTTCATTAACTTCTCTTCATCCCACTCCTGGGAAATTTGGCAATTCTATCTTCAACAGAGGGCAAATTCAGCTACCACCAGACCTTCCTTAACCATGTGCAAAATCAATAGGCATGAATGTAAAAGAAAACAGAAAAACCTCCCAAAAAGGAGGGCCCTGCATATGTCATCCATGGCAGCTGAGAAATGTCATAAACGTTCATAGAGGAATGACTGATGTAGGATTCTGTTTACTCTGTTACTCAAGCAATAAATGATATCACGCCAGCCCCAGCCTTGCATGGCTGGTAATAATGTGGAAACACAACATAAAGGCTAGTCAGTTTTTGTGTGGGCTAAAAGGTGCTGTTTCCATGGTTTGGGGCTTGATCCTCCTCTGTTTGAAATCAGTGAGAGTAAAGACATGTATTATATGAAGGTTTTGGAAAATTCTGAGCAACTGGAAAAGGTGTGGGGTGTATGTTGGACAAGTGTAGGTTACCTGAATATTACTATAATTTTTGTTCCTGCTTTAATAATGTCAGAAACACGTCAGTCCCATACAAACAGTGGCTCCCTTAAACAATCTTTTGTCAATGAATCATATGTTCTGAGTCACACAGGCATCAGAACCCTCTGGGGCTTTTAAACCCTTCGTGTCTATGATGGTAAGTTAATATTGAAACCATCTTGCCCTCTATCAAACAGCCCTAGATTTGTATTCCTTGGCAGGCGTTCACTAATACTTGGGGTGTGGGTCAAAGGGCACTTCATTTTTCAGACCTTAGAGCCTGCTTTTAATTAGCTTCACTACAGAGTTCAGGTGTACCCAGAGTCTATAAACTACCTTCCTCCTCATGCAGTCAACACCTGTCTTCATATAAAAGTGCACCATGTCAGAGAAGGATTTGATCATGGGGGAGACTTCACCCCATATTTTGGTTTCCATCTTTGGCCAGCTAATTAAGAAAAGATTGCTCAGGTAAAAGGCAGGATGGCATTTCTTGACCTTGCTTTTTTGCTAATCCAAATGTTTCCTTGTCTGTCAGATAACAATGAACAACTGCCTTTGAGACTGACAAAACTGAGGGTATGTCTAGACTATATGCCTCTGCCGGCAGAGGCATATAAATTAGACTACCCGACACAGTCAGTGAAGTGTGGATTGAAATATCCCCCGCTTCATTAAAATAAAAATGGCTGGCGCACTGTGGCCATCGGTCGACAGGGGAAGCCTTTGACGACCGCTCCCTTATGCCTCGTGAAACAAGGTTTATAGGAGCGGTCAACAAAGGCTTCCCCTGTCGACCGATCCGCGTCTTGACTCGCGCGCTGTGCCAACGATCAGCTGAGCCTGCACCGCGTGGCGGCCATTTTTTTTTAATGAAGCCGAGGATATTTAAATCCCCGCTTCATTGACTATCTCGAGTAGTCTAATTTATGTGCCTCTGCCGGCAGAGTCATGGAGTCTAGACATACCCAGAGGCTGTGTCTAGACTGGCATTTTCCGGAAATGCTTTTAATGGAAAAAAATTTTTTGCGGAAAAGCGTCTGTGCCATTCTAGACGCGCTTTTCCGCAAAAAAGCCCCGATCACCATTTTTGCAATTGGGGCTTTTTTGCGCAAAACAAATCTGAGCTGTCTACACTGGCCCTTTTGCGCAAATGTTTTGCGCAAAAGGACTTTTGCCTGAATGGGAGCAGCATAGTATTTCCGCAAGAGGCACTGATTTCTTACAGTAGGAAGTCAATGCTTTTGCGGAAATTCAGGCGGCCAGTGTAGACAGCTGGCAAGTTTTTCCGGAAAAGCAGCTGATTTTCCGGAAAAAATGGCCAGTCTAGACATACCCAGAGTGCGAGACTGTGTGAGAGAATGTGGCGGGAGGCTGATGGATTGAACTGTGCAATAGGAGTTGAGTCCTTTATGCCCCTACAGAATTTGGAGGTGACATATCAATATCCTACAAGAAGTTGAAGATAACCTCTTCCATCTATTTCTATAGACTCGTCCAGGTAGCTAGTATGTTTCTTTGCACAAGCAGTCTTACCTTGATTTTCCATGTGCATAAATTTGGAAAATATGTCCCAGATGAACCCAACCTCAGTGGCTGATGAGGCTCCCGGCCCACTCAGTGCAGGCCTAGGGATGTTGGGACCCCAAACGCCATGTTGCCTATTTCCATGTAATGTATGTACAAACGGGTCTGTGTGACACTTGCCCATGGAAGCCTCGACCATTCGATTTTCTAATTGGCACCCAGCGCCTCAGGTCAGATGTTTCACAGGCATTCTAGACTATTTGCGTATTTCTCTCAGATACGTTCTTTTGAGGAGAAAACCCTTTCTGGTAAATCTGACTCAGATGCTCAGAGGTGCTGGAGAACCGACAGCCTTTGTGTACCCCTGAGGTAAGGTGGGGAGGCCCAGCTCTACATCCTGGAAGGGACAGGGTCTTGGTCAGAAGGGGCGGGGTCGGGGCAGCCAGCCCTCTGCACCCCCCAGAGTGTACCTCTCCCAGGTCTCAGAGCTGCATGAAGCGTGCGGCACAGCGCTCTGGAGATGATTTAAAGGGCCTAGAGCTCTGGCCACTGCCACAGTAACAGTGGCAGGAGCCAGGAGCCCTGGAGAAACTACCCTTTTTCCTCCCTCCCAGATCCCCCCCTCCCGCGTTGATGGGGCTGCATAGGTGCTTTGTAGGGTTGTACAAAGAAAATTCTGACTTTCGAAACCTAGGGCTTCATGGTTAGGAAGCAGGCACCAAAAGAGGCAAAAGGGGCAGAAGGCAGGACAATTCATCATAGAATCGTAGAGCACTAGAACTGGAAGGGACCTCAAGAGTCATTGAGTCCAGTCCCCTGCCCTCACGGCAGGACCCAGCGCCCTCTAGACCATCCCTGACAGGTGTCTTTCCAACCTGCTCTTAACTATCGCCAGTGATGGAGATTCCACAATTCCCCTAGGCAAGTTATTCCAGTGTTTAACTACCCTGACAGTTGGGAACTTTTTCCTAATGTCCAACCTAAATCTTCCTTGCTGCAGTTTAAGCCCCTTGCTTCTTGTCCTAATTGCAACCCCCAAACCACACATGTGATACTGACAGTGCAATGATTCATTTCTGTAAGCAAGAAGGCAGTCTCTGGGGTAGAAGTTCCCTGTAGAACCAACCCCCACCTTTCTACTCAGCCCCCCACCAACCCCAAACCCCCAAATCTAATTACTCTTTTAAAAGTACATTTAAAACTAACTCATTAAACTGAGATCATTTTTTCATTCATCACATGTCAACCTCCAAAATCTAAATCCTGACCCCAAGCAAAATTGCTGCCATGAAAAGGGAGGAGACCCAGAGATTGCATGAACACAGCCCTACGTGGATACAAAATTTGTATCCCCCAAAATGAGCTGTGGATATCCATATCCATATCCATATCCATATCCGCAGGTGCAAAATTTCAGGGCTCTACATGAATGCTCCTAGTGACTCGACGGTTGCTATGGAGTTTATGGGGAAGGAATTGAAATATTAACACCTGGCTTCAGGGTTTGTAGACATGGAGGTTAGATGGTCCACATTTAACAGCGTCTGCTTTCCTGTTCTTTTACATTTGCAGTATTGGAGCTTCCAACTGTCTCAACTATTGATTAGAGCTGCTAATTAGCTTTACATTACTGGATGGTTTCCTGGGCTAAATACCTCAGGTACAGGAACTGTTCACAGGCACTGAAGCGGGAGAGTTCAAACTAATTCAGAAGCTGTGCAAGCAAAACTCCCGCGTCTAATGTGGCCCAGCCTTGGCTTACTTATCTGGAGAGCCTGTCAGCGTGTCCTATTGCTAGTAGAAACCACTTCAGTGCTGGAGCCAGACACCAAGCTACTGGGGGTTCCTCATTTCATTTCGTTGCAGGGGAAATTCTGAAGCAGTTTAAG